TGTGCATCCCTTCATCAAATCGAGCACGTAGTTACAACTCAGCATTAACTGTATTATGTGTAGTATCAAGGCCATTAGGTTTGGCTGATCCATCTTTGTCATCCCTTACCACTACTCTACGTACCCTACGTCACCAACTTCTATCAGTTAAATAGAATAGTTGCCTTATCAAAGATTAATTGTTAAAAACATATGTACATAAATGTTTTGTTGTATTATGGGGAGAACTGTTATAAAAGTTGTTGTACGATCATTTTGAATCATTTGATCAACTAAATAGGTTTTATCTAGAACAATTTGTTTCTTTATTGTTGGATGAGACACATGAAATTCGATGAAATGAGCATATCCAATAATACATTTCATGTTGTATTTGTCAGGTATACTAGTTATCAGACTTCACACCTTATACCTTTTATATATACATAATAAAACCTTACTCTTGATTTTAAATTAACCCTGTGTCATAATAATCTGAATTTATACTAGATTTGACGTTTATGTATTTGTCTATATAAGATATTGGTTATGACGCCATACTTGTTGTGAGACATATTTGTTTTAAGCATTGAACTGTTTTTGTATGGTATTTATGATCTATCTGAATGGCACAGCTTTGCTTGCTACAGCGTATTGTCGCGTGCTGATTGGCAAACAAAGTAGTATTTTGAAATTTTAACAAACACTTCAATTCTATTCCACGATTCAGTATCAATACGATTGTATATGATATGTGTATAGGATGATTTAAGTTTATCAATAGAAATCTGAGCTGAAAGTTAGATTTTAAATTGTTCCGATTTTTCCCCAGAACAAATTCGCGCATGGATAAATACAGTGAACACCGTGAATCCGACCTTGACCTCCACGAGGGAGTTATTTTTGGAAGTTAATTCGAAAGTTTTTTTTTGCTCATTTTGTTGAAAATTGTTTCCATTGCCGGCATTGGTGATTTTAACCGATGTGCATTTTGTACGATATTGCAGTCCTTGGTCTTGTTTTTGTTGTAATAAAAGTATTTTGTATTTACTATTTTCTTTTGCACATAAATTTACAATGACATTGTCAAGTGTCACAATGCCAAGCGATATTTCAGCAGCCGTCATGTTTATTTACATTGGATATGGTAGTTCCGGTCAGTGTTGTATTGATACGCTAAGAATTGTGTCTCGTGCTGCATGGTAATTAAAGTCCCATCAACGACACAGCTTTCAAAGAGGCTACATAGTGATAATGCCATGCAAATGTAAATATTATAGATTAAACAACGGATTCTGCTGTATTTCTATTGTACGAAGTGAAACAAAAAAACCAACAACACCCATTCATTCGTTGGTTTTGAGCCACGAAAGAGTATATAGCCACCACTATTACACAGACCAATGATCGATTTACGTTGTCGTGCGATGGGGACAAACCATATATGAGATTCTGTTGGAGCTTACTTGTTATATTACCCTGATAGCACAATTTGAATATGATTTCCTGATGATTTTGACATCTTTAAAAGTTATTTCCATACTTTTCCTTGTATGAATGGATTATAATGGAATCGTTGTTAACCATAGTATGACACTCTTAAGTTGTATGAATAATGAGTTCCATCGTCTACAACACTGTACATACGAAATGGTGATACTGACTGTTGAAATAAATGTACCTCATCGACGATAGCTTTCTGAAAAAATACTATTGGATACAGAAAGGGTATATATTGTTGATCCCTCTACTGTTGTTGTACAACAAACAGTCAATAGCAAACATATGCTACATGTAGTGGCACGGTCTTCCTTCCTTTTAGTTTAATGATGTTGTTATTAACCGCGGGCCACCTTATTGTGTCCGACTATTGGTCAATAGCTCGTAGCTCTGTTCGAGGTACGAACATGTTAGCGGCGTCATTTGGTTAGTTTTTTAATAAATCACTTTGATGTTGTTGCTGAACTCCACCTTCCTGGAGTGGCATAGGTTTGGTATTGTGGTTTCGTTGATTAAATATGTAGTATTTACTGGTAATATAGCACAACAAACGAGTCTCTGAAAAAGGACCTAATGCAAGAATAACATTTACATATCCATCACCAAACACACATACTCTCATATGGATGTACTGCACACTGTGTCACGAGGTAAGATGTGCCTGAGACAGGTTATCAATTCCGCCATCCATTGAACATAGAACGCATTTGTTTAGGAAAACCATCAACATACATGTGTAAATTTAGGTCGAATATAATTATAACAAGGATAAGTATATAAAAGGTCGCTTCGAGCATTTTTTTCTTATCAAATTATCGAATCCGCGTTATCTATTCCATCATAATATACAATCATATGTTGATTATACCATTCTACAACGAAAAACGTCACCAAATATATTTTATGTCTACCTTAGTGCCTATATGTCTACAATATGGAAGGTGACCTAGATAATCTAATTTCTTACATTAGGCTGTTCTTTTGCACATGTAAATATTTGTCATGTGATGTAATTTGTTTTCATTTCCCAACAAGCTATGTATGTTTTCGACATCTCTGATGCTGTAAGCTATTGTCCTAATTTGTCTGTTTCCCCTTCACATGGACATATTTTGAGAGGAACGTCTGTCTTATAATAATTTGTTTATGTTTTATCGTATAAACACGAGAAATTATAAGAACCAAAGAAAATACATCGTTCTCGCTGCCTGACCCTCAACCCCAAGTAAGTGGAACGAAGATCTTGCTCAGCTGCAAAAATTCAACAACCGTTGCATAATTTTGTCTTGTAAAACCCTTACTCCAAATTTGCATATGCAAACCCAGCAAGCCTTATTTACAGTTTCTCATTTAGCAGATTATACAATAGAGACAATGATGTCATGGTTTATAAAGGATGTTTATATCCACATCCGCCATTCAACACATACAATAAAAACTTGGTAGATAACCCAGCTCTGTTTGAAGTCCCTTCATGGTAACTCCGCCGGGCCATTCTGATTGTAAGCTTGACAGACTACCAGTATATGTTTTTGTTCGACAATATTCAATATACATAAAATGGATTTGAAGATTTGATAACAATATATAATAATGTATACTGATTAAGCAGAACGATATTCACATTCTGTTGAAACTATTTCTTACTGATTAGTAAATATATCTAGAACAACATTCCTACATATTCTTTTATTTACAATTTAAAGTATTTCCATTATCTGTAAGCCAAATTAAAGAAGTGAATGTGTTCATCTAAAACAGATAATTTATACATCTGCATTTTTTTTATTTCTTCTTATCAAAAATATAATGACATGCAGATAAGCTTTCAACTCTGACATCAACAAAAAAGTAAACAGAAAAATATGACGCTGATCGAGTGGTTTTGAATTCTTTTATTGCAAGAATACTGGTTTTAGATTATGTGTCGTTGCTGGTTGCCTAGCAACTGTACAAAAAACATTATGATGAGGACTGAAGTTAACGAAGCTTACTTAACTTACAACTTTGGGCGTTAATAATGTTCATGTAACTTGTGCCCAATCCTCTTGCATTTTTTGGCAATAAAATATGTTTAAACTAAACTTACAATAACAACAATAACACGTTAATGTACTAATTTTTCACCTTCTGGGTAATTTTGTCTTGGCAAGCCATACGAATTCTCTCTACGGTCGCCGGACATTTAAAGAAGTAGTCCTCGGTAAGGTTTTCCTCTTTCCTTGCGGCCAATACTGCGTCCCGGATAGCATAAAACACCGATGCTGCCAGGAGAAGTGGCGGTTCCCCTATGCCCTGTTAATGTAACGTAATAGGCCTTATAATACTTGAACGCCTCATTTCACTTATAGATGTTACAACGTTATACACTAGATTGTGTTACACTCAACAAGCACGGTGCTTTGATGTGAATAGAACAACTCAACATTTTTGAGCATCGGAATCTTTATATAGAATGTGCAAACAATATTACATTTCATTTTTTGACATTGCTACTTTACCTTGGCCGAGTAGACTGTCTTCGGACCTTCACCGTATTTGAGGAGCTTGACATTCATCTGCCTTGGGATGTTTCTTATCCCTGGGACTTTGTAGTTAAGTGGACCTACAGAAGCGATCTGGCCTTTGTCGTCAACTTTGAATTCTTCAGTTGTCATCATTCCAGAGCCCTTTGATCAAATCAACTTTTATACAACTTGTTCATAGAAAATTTACAGAAAAGAAAATAGATCTTCATGAGCTATAAAGTTTTGAGCAAACTTTTGTCTTCACTTCATTCTGAGACAAAACAAGAGGCCCAAGACGGCCTGTATCGCTTATAAATATATTATATTATAAATATTTTATTGTACTACAAATTTGTCACTCACAAACTTTGTCGGCTCCATCTATCGAAACTAACAGTCAAATATTATCATAAGATTTTATGCTTTTTGGCCATCGTTCCTATTCAAAAGTTGTTTGACATATTTTTCCCTGTGACCTTGTAAGTATGTCAATTAGTTTTCCTTCTCAAACTATTATAGCTTTTTCCCAAGAAGCTACCAGCCAAATTTTATGAATCCAATCCTTTTGGTTCTGCAGAACAAATCCTTGAAATGTTGTTGACCTCTGTGACATTTAAAGTAGGTTGAGGTCATTTTAATTTGCAAACTTTGGTGAGCTCTATCCCAAGAAACCACTAGCCATATATTATGTTTTATGCCTATCATTTTTTACAGAAGTCACTTGATGTTTTTGACAAATTTAACACCTATGACCTTGAAGAAAGTCAACGTCATTTTCATTCTCAAACTTTGTCGGGCTCTATCTCAGGAAGCCACAATGCAAATATGAAGGTTCTACACCTTTCAGTTCTTCAGAAGAAGTCGTTTGAAGCATTTGACATATTTAACCCCTGTGACCTTGAAAGCAGGTCAAAGTCATTTTCATTGTCAAACTTTGTCGGGCTCTTTCCCAGGAAGCCATCAATCAGATATAAAAATTCTATACTTTTCAGTTCTTCAGAAGAAGTCGTTTAAAGTGTTCGACACATTTAACCCCTGTGACCTTGAAAGTATGGCAAGGTCATTTTCATTCTTATACTTTGTTGGGATCCATCCGAGGAAGCCATCAGCCAAATATAAAGTTTTTATACCTTTCAGTTCTTCAGAAGAAGTCGTTTGAAGTTTTTGACATATTTGACCCATGTGGCCATGAAAGTAGGTCAAAGTCATTTTTGTTCACAAACTTTGTCGGGCTTCTACCAACAAAGCTTTCAGCCAAATATCATGACTCTAGGCCTGTCCGTTCTTCAGAAGTTGTTTAAAGGAAAAGTTGACAGACGAGGACGGACGGACGGACGACGGACGCCGCACCATGACATAAGCTCACCTGCCCTTCGGGCAGGTGAGCTAAAAACGGAACATATCCACATATATGTACAAGGGGATGCGTACTAACCTGAACGAAGCCTCCCTCAATCTGTCCGATGTCTATCGCAGGATTAAGACTCTTACCAACATCCATCACGATATCTGTCCTTATCACCTGGGAAATGTAACGTCAGATAAGTCGGCAATAATATATACTTCTATAAATACAGTAATGCTCTTTCCAGATAGTTTCTGTCAGCTAATGATTATGCATAGTAACTTAGGTACTCGTTGTCTTAAATGCAAACGAGGTACTACCGATGATGATATCTCAAGATAACGAAACAATTACGACGGTCAGCTCCAAATGGGTTCTAGATAGATATAGGCTTATAACATTTAAGAAAACAAACCTTTTTCTATCATGACAATGTTTAGCTGATATTTTTGTCAAAAATTATGTCTTTTATTTTTCTGAATACTAATAAATTCAATAATAGAAATAATATTACAAACCAAAATTGAGAGTATCACCTAAGCCTTTGAGGTAAGATTGATATAACTGATACATGGTGCTGAATAAACTTGTACATCTAACGCACAAATGTGTAAATGTTGTTTCACTTTGAAGTTCGTGTACGTAATGTAAAATCCTTATTTTTTGTATCTATTCTATATATTCACATTACTAGCAAATCACACATGGATGATTAGTACTTATATCAATACCCGGCCTCCGCTGCACCGGCCGGGTATTAAATCGATCCCATGGATTGTAATGGAGCAAGCCCGGCGTGAATCACACCGGGGCGATTTTAGAATTAATTGATAGCTCATTGGTCCGCATCCATAAATAGGGTTGTAGTATGAACTATAACTGTTGCTATCCTGTACAACTTGCCTAAAATGTCAAAATTATCAAATTAACGTAGCAAGCATATCGAAATCTGAATTGACCGCCATGTTGGAAAGTTCGTCTCTCTTCCGATATAGGTCAGACGTCTATATATGGGCGTCATGACCCAATATGGAATTTGTAGTAAACAAGGCGACATCAGTAAAAATACTATATTTGACCATGCAGGCCATATATAGAAAGGATAATTGAGATAACATCACACGTGATCTGCCATGACGCTCGTTTCTATCCCCCTCCCCCCAACAAGATGGACTTGGCTAATTTCATGAAAGAGTATTTTTCATTGGTAAGGATTCATTTTTTCACGAATTATGCAATATTTTGATAACATTATACTCGTATGAGGCGTGCATTATATGTCATCTTACAGATTAGCACTTTTGATTTTGCCAATATTACGGCAAAACCCCACCTGATGGTACCCTGTTACAGACAAAACCTAACTGATGTTCCACTTTTACAGACAAAACCTTCCTAATGTTCCAACATTACAGACAAAACCTACCTGATGTTTCCATATTACAGACAAAACCTTCCTGATGTTCCCCGTTAGGAACGAAACCTACCAGTTGTTTCCCTTTTGCTGACAAAACCTACCAGATGTTTCCCTATTACTGACAAAACCTACCAGATGTTTCCCTATTGCTGACAAAACCTACCAGATGTTTCACTATTGCTGACAAAACATACCTGGTGTTTCCCTATTGCAGACAAAACCTACATGATGTAGCCCTGTTATAGACAAAACATACCTGATGTTCCCCTGTTACAGACAAAACTTACCTGATGTCCCCTGTTGCTGACAAAATCTACCTGATGTTTCCTTATAGCAGACAAAAGATACCTGATGTTCCCCTGTTGCTGTCAAAACCTAACTGAATTTCGCATATAACAGACAAAACCTACCTGATGTTCCCCTGTTACAGACAAAACCTACCTGATGTTTCGCTGTTGCTGACAAAACATACATGATGTTCCCCTGTTACAGACAAAACCTTCCTGATGTTTCCCTGTTACAGACAAAACCTACATGATGTTCCCCTGTTACAGACAAAACCTACCTGATGTTCCCCTGTTACAGACAAAACCTACCTGATGTTCCCCTGTAACAGACAAAACCTACCTGATATTCCAACATTACAGACAAAACCTACCAGATGTTCCCCTGTTACAGACAAAAACCTACCTGATGTTCCCCTGTTACAGACAAAACTTACCTGATGTTGCCCTGTTGCTGACAAAACCTACCAGATGTTTTCCTGTTACAGACAAAACCTACCTGATGTTCCCTGTTGCTGACAAAACCTACCAGAGGTTTTCCTGTTACAGACAAAACCTACTAGATGTTTCCCTCTTACAGACAAAACCTACCAGATGTTTCCCTGTTACAGACAAAACCTACCAGATGTTCCCCTGTTACAGAAAAAACCTACCTGATGTTCCCCTGTAACAGACAAAACCTACCTGATATTCCAACATTACAGACAAAACCTACCTGATGTTCCCTGTTGCTGACAAAACCTACCATATGTTTTCCTGTTACAGACAAAACCTACTAGAAGTTTCCCTGTTACAGACAAAACCTACCAGATGTTTCCCTGTTACAGACAAAACCTACCTGCTGTTCCCTGTTACAGACAAAACCTACCTGGTGTTCCCTGTTACAGACAAAACCTACCTAATGTTTCCCTGTTGCTGACAAAACCTACATAATGTTCCCTTGTTACAGACAAAACCTTGCTGATGTTTCCCTGTTACAGACAAAACCTACTAGATGTTTCCCTCTTACAGACAAAACCTACCAGATGTTTCCCTGTTACAGACAAAACCTACTAGATGTTTCCCTCTTACAGACAAAACCTACCAGATGTTTCCCTGTTACAGACAAAAACTACCTGATGTTCCCTGTTGCTGACAAAACCTACCAGAGGTTTTCCTGTTACAGACAAAACCTACTAGATGTTTCCCTCTTACAGACAAAACCTACCAGATGTTTCCCTGTTACAGACAAAACCTACTAGATGTTTCCCTCTTACAGACAAAACCTACCAGATGTTTCCCTGTTACAGACAAAAACTACCTGATGTTCCCTGTTGCTGACAAAACCTACCAGAGGTTTTCCTGTTACAGACAAAACCTACTAGAAGTTTCCCTGTTACAGACAAAACCTACCAGATGTTCCCCTGTTACAGAAAAAACCTACCTGATGTTCCCCTGTAACAGACAAAACCTACCTGATATTCCCACATTACAGACAAAACCTACCAGATGTTCCCCTGTTACAGACAAAAACCTTCCTGATGTTTCCCTGTTACAGACAAAACCTACTAGATGTTTCCCTGTTACAGACAAAACCTACCTGGTGTTCCCTGTTACAGACAAAACCTACCTGGTGTTCCCCAGTTAGTACATCAATCTCAACCTCTGTACACGCAGTTCCGTAAGTAAAGTAGTGTGCATGAGTCCCAGCGTTTTTTGCAAAGTCGTATCCTTCTGTACGCGGTCTAGCAGTAATGTAAAACAGTGACACAATATACAATGTTTTATGCCAGGATAAGATTAGTTTTTTATCATTTCAAATTAATAAAAAGTACCATTTATGTACGTTTCAGTAGATATCTTGTATGTTTATGTACTTCTTTATGTATTTAAATTCAAATATTTACAGGACGTTTTCCGTGTAGACATACCCATAGAATCCTGTTGCAGAGAGACTGACTCTTGAAAAATATGCAGCGGTCACCTGATTAAACAAAAACTAATAATTAGTATAAGGATTCAGTTTGTTTCTATTCTTTGGGCCAGCATATACAAATACTTGTATAACATAATTCATTTGTCTGTAAAACAGCAATTCGTTATTATGGAACGAAGTACAACTTTGAAGTTGTTACTAACACATACGTATCATATAACGAGGGTTATCATAATGGATAGAAAATAGAATAGGAAACACATTTACCCATGCGTTCCAGTCACCGTCAGGATTTTTCTCTTTCATAGGAGCCAGTCTTTCCTTTATTTTCTTGCAGGCATCCTTGAAGAAATATTTGTACTTTAAGTATACATGTTGATAATATAATTCATCTCTATTAAAACATTCTAACAATCTATATGGACCTACGATATAAGTTCTTATAGAGTTTAATGTTCATCACTTTGATATTAATGAGTTACAATTTTGCAAGGTGACAAATTATATGAATATTACAATCTAATTACGTTATACGCATGAGTCTCAAATAAGAAAGCATACAATAAATAACATGAACTCAATATTTATTATTTACGTATATATCCTCCATATAATATAGTAAAAAAGAGAACTATCGTACATAATATCCTTCATGTATTATTTTATGTTATATAATTATCATTATATTATTATCAGCTTAGTTTAGGTGAAAATATCTGGACAAATGTTTATTCGACATTATATTTGTTGACATATATTTTAGAATACTTACAAGCACCGCCCCGGCGGTGAGGTCGGTAGTAGTACTCCCACTGGTTTCAGTAGTGTTTGGTACTGTGGTAGTGCTAGTCTCACTGATAAGAATCTTCTCGTGCGGAATTTCTAATACAGATGCCGCAACCTGGCAAAATTTAAAGCAAACGTTACTCAAGCATACTCATATACAACTGTTCAAATTATATAAGATTCTGCAACTTCCATTGTTAAAAAGAGAGCATGAGTTGAAAAAGAGATATGGTATAGAGAGTGAACCGTCCCTACTCTCCTTAGTCACTCTGACTAAAACACAAACAATACCCACAACAGGCATCACAACATACGTAATATTACTGCTAGTACCACAAACCTCGAGTCAACAATAACACGACAGGATTGACAACAAGTATCCAAACCTGAAATAACAAACGCGATGCCTATGAAGGTCACTGACAAATATATTGATATTGTTTTGTTCGAAATGAGAGACAATTTCCTAATTGTTCATTACGTGCAAAATGTATCTATCAAGATGTTAGCTTATGATACTAGTACGTATACCTGAATCAACTTTGTGTGGAGTCCCTGTCCACATTCCACACCAGAGTGGGCCAGCAGCACCGATCCATCTTTATATACAAGGACCAAGGCTCCACCCTGTTCAACAGTAGTCATATACTATCATATGCTTTTTTTATTATTATTTCATGTTCAGATAAAATAATTCAAAGAAGAATATACATAATGTACTCTTAAGTATACAACTACATCCTTAATGAATGTCATCACGGGTTACTAATGTATTATGTTCATAAAATGTAATCGGTTGACGTCATCGCCATCAAGAGAAATTGCCACCGCCGTCTCCGTACCAACTGATGTTCATAACTGTCATAACAACAAATACCAATTGATGACGGCAGTTCGTCCTATACGTAAGCTGGTGTAATGCAGTGGCCGAATTGTCCTTAGCTTGAGATAGGTATCAGTTGATAGCAAAACGAGTATTATAATACTACTTTTGAATATATAACATATTACACACGAAAGTTGTTTTTTCGCACGTATTATTTCTTAATAATATTTCGTATGACGATAAAATCAATCAATAGTTATATTATTAGATCTAATATTAATACTTATAAAAACAATGCATGCGAAATACCAACATTTGATTTTGAATAAATTCGCACCAAGGAAATTAGCCTATTTATGTTTATCGTTTCGAATGTCTTCCGAGAAAAAAGAAAACAAATCAATATTTCTAGCATATGTTGAAAATAACATACCTGATTAAGGAACAGGGGCGGATAACCGACCGGAAACATGATAGGTATAATGGAAATGCCACGCTTCCTCCAACGATTAGCGCTGCAATTAATGTAATTTTATCATGGATTGTCATATATAGCAAATTTTGGGTTACTTAACAACAATTATAATAATGATATTATGATGCGATCAGTGAAAATGTTTTATGCGTGTAAAGCACAATAGCCCAACATCAACGAAAGGCTTTTTACAATTGACTACTACAAGACAGTTGATATAAGAATTAGGCAGCGAACAGATCTATTTCATATACATATGTATTAAACATAATTCTGTTTCGATTTAAATTAACATTTACTCCTTGGCACTTTCAAAACCATATAAAGAGTCTAACCTGTTCAGTATCTGGACACTTTCCGATCGTTTGTGGAATTCGCTGTCTCGTTTACACTCTTCCCAACAACGGTACAGATTGTCGTCGTTAATCGCCATGTTGAATGGTGTCACAGCACCGTTTCGTATCATATTTTTATTTCGTACCTAAACGACAAATTGAAATAGCAAGTGCGCAATATAGTGCCGTTCTTTTTTAAAGATGTATGTTGTCTCCGTAAAACATCAGATGTATCATACACGTATCATGCATCATTTAACTTTTGATTCGTTATTGATGGTAAGCTTTAACGTCACGCTACCACATGGTAAGCTTAACGTCAAGCTACCACATGGTAATCTTTAACGTCACGCTACCACATGGTAAGCTTAACGTCACGTTACCACATGGTAAGCTTTAACGTCACGCTACCACATGGTAAGCTTAGCGTCACGCTACCACATGGTAAGCTTTAACGTCACGCTATCACATGTTAAGCTTTAACGTCACGCTACCAAATGGTAAGCTTTAACGTCACGCTACCACATGGAACGATTTAACGTCACGCTACCACATGATAAGCTTTAACGTCACGCTACCACATGGTAAGCTTTAACGTCACCCTACCACATGGTAAACTTTAACGTCACCCTACCACATGGTAAACTTTAACGTCACGCTACCAAATGGTAAGCTTTAATGAGACGCGACCACAATTGGTACAATTTTGACGTTTTTGCAGAGATATTTAAAAATTTAATAATTCAGATATTGTATCTGGAATGTTTCATGATTCTTGACAAAGACTACCCATGGTGGTTCAGTTTCAAAAAAAAGTTTCAATTCTAAGTTGTTGTTTTTTTTTAAATAGAACGCTAAACACGCAGCGAGATTTCGTCCGTTTTGTTTCGGCCGTGATTAGTACCCAAATTGGTACACAAATCACAGGCTATTAAACTTGTTTTTATTTCTACTAGTTGATGTGCCGATTGAAACACAACGTATTGGTTTTAGAAATATAATACTGAACTACAATTGTATAAGTACACTTTTATATTATCCGGTTATAAGGACCAGACATCAACATTTAAACATGCTTATAATTAACCCCTTCGAAATCCTTCCAAATTTCATCGACGTATATTGCTTTTACTGGTTTTCTGATATGTTTACTTTGAAGTCATCGTGTATTCTCAAAATGTTCCTGAAAACAGAACAATTCGGTTGAAATACTGATAAATATCTCTTTTGTTATGCTGTCAGAGAAAAAAGCTCAAATTTAATTCTTAAGTTCTTTTCGAACCTTTTTCTGACCGTGTACCAATTTGGGTAGTGTACCAATTGTGGTAGCGTGACGTTAACTCATGTTTCCGTGGAATGAACGAAACAGTTAAACAAATGGGAAATAATAACAATAGGAAATTGATTGATAAATAAATAAACCCATTCTTTTTAACCAACCACATACTTGATCAGCAGGTACGTTGAGTTGGAAAGCCACCTTTTCTATCATCGCCTCAGCAGCAAATACGACCTGCGGAGATCCGAATCCTCTAAAGGCAGTATTAGAAGGCAGGTTGGTACGGCAAAGCTTACCCTCCGCTTTCATGTTTATAAAATTATAACATCCCTGCGTCAGGAACATACCACTTGTCATTATCTACCCAACAGATAAAACATATACATAGTTTACAGTAAACCCATTATCTCTAAGGTAGGTAGAATTGACGCATACCTTGCAATAAACATCATTCCACATTTTATATCCAAAAAAATATATAAGAGCGGACACATTTTAAATGAATATCATTCTTAAAGAACGTCAAAGGATTGGCATCAACGTATTGCAATAAAGATCAATTCATATCAATTATCTACCTAGCTTGATAGACGTGCGTATTGTAAAACTATTCCACTTTCATCATACTAAAACTGAATAGAATAGACTGAAATAAACTTCTATTCATGAGAAGCAGGAAGAGGACTGCAATAATTAATTAAACAACTCCATATTCGTTACCTACCAGACGGAATATAGACATACATAAACATGTTTGTTCTCTCTCTCTGCCCAAACTCTCTCTCTTTTCTAATAATTCTCAGTTCTTCTTATCACTTATTGTTATTTACGAGGTTTGTCAATTAATATATGCATGTAGTAACAGATATTATTAAACCTAAAATGTTATCCTTACAATCGGACTAAGATCTGTCGAGTGACCAGCATCAAAGTAGTACTTGACGTCGACTCCAATGATTCTTCCGTCCTTCTTGCAATATACCTGCAAGCATTGCATTCGTATGAAGAACAATACCAACCGTATGTGCAACTTAAAAAGGATGAATTAATATAAAAGTCTACTAGATAGGTTTATTGTTTAATTTCCTGCAAAATCATTACATTATCTAAAGATTGAAAAAAAACACCCAAAAAACCCAGTTCATGAGTTGAATACAATGAATTGGTTTAACTTATTTGAAATACAATGGTGAAAACAATTCAATGCCAAAGTATAAACAAAAGCGGTATTCAAACTCAAAATCTACAAAACCAGAGCACAATATATGACGAAAAGAATGATCTGTACACAATCAGTTAAAAAGATACAAGGAACTGTTTTAGACCTGAATATACCCTAAATAGCGATGTAGATTTTACCTTGAAGATGGCCTTCACGGGATGTCTTTTGCCTGTAAGTCTGAAATCAACTTCTCTGTCATAGATACACCTTACAGGCCTGCTAGTTCTGAATTGAGAATAAATAAAATATCTTAAATACGTGCGGGTCAAATTAAATTCAAGACCCGATAAATTGTTGATGTGTGTTGATTCACTTATCTAATTTTTGATCATTACTATTTGATTGGGGGCTGAACTAGTATTCAGGTTATCAATGAAAACTTCAATATTAATCCGTTTCATATCAAAGGTTATGACAATCTTATTTAGCTACAGTGACATATTAGTACTTTATTCAATAGTATTTTTCGTTTCATCAACACTCCATGTTCACATACTATATGTATAATGCGAACATCACATAAACACTTTAACTTACTTCCAAGCCCCGACAGCAGCAAAACCTGCGCAGGAGATGGAATCCGTAGCTTTTCCTCCAAATGCACCCCCTATATAAAAATGTAAGAATATCCCATTTGATTTCAAAACGACTTATTTGACGCAACAGAGTTCAACAACATATTTTCAGTTATTTTGTTTGTCCTTATCACCATGCTTGGTTGATTATTAACACTGCACCTAATAACATTAGCTTGCTCATATTAACAATCACCGAGTTACCAATAGTATTATATAAAAAACGATTCAGTTGCCGTTGAATCCCTTATGTATGTACGTTAATATATCCAGGCGCGATATACAACCAGAATATGGACACGGGGCACAAATATCGAGATTTCAACATCATAAATAAAAATAGAAAAGTGTAAAATACGTGATTATGAGCAAATTAACAGTTCGTACTGCTGAAGACAGGTGTACTAACCTGCACGCTTAACTCTTGTTGAAATTCGACTGCTATCTAATCCAAGAATCTTGGCCAATTCTGTCTACAAAGCAAATAACTAAATGTTAGGAATTTGTTTAAAGACATAGCATTACCGCAAAGTTAAATTTTCTTCACTTCAGTTCTGCAAATTTGTTCTTTTGCCTCACCGTCGAATAGTATACAGTTAAAAGTATGACTTTGAAGGATATAAATGTAGCAAGTTTCTTGTTTGCCTTGGGAAATAATTTTGGATGAGGGGAAACAGAAATCTATTTATCCCTACAATCTAACACTTTGATTGTTCTATGACATCAATTCAAACCCAAGCAAGGTTAAAAAAAAAGAAGACTTTTCTAATTGTTGTTCATCTATGCTCTCAATATCGCATGCACTGTTGTCTTAAAGATGGATAACCTGACACGTTCTTAAATGACCGTAGCTGTTAATAGGATGTTTAACATAAAAAACTGAGACAGATAACAATTGAGTGGGTTCAGGTAAGTACAAACCCAGCCCACTTCTCGTCTGAATGGCTCCATTATTTCGATGTGGAAGCTACGGAACTTCCCCAGGGAGTGAGAGTTCACTCCAAAAAAATGCTGAGTAAGTAGGAGTATACCCAAAACATTGCTAAGGAAATTAGCCTGCTTGTATATTTTAGTTTCCTGACTAACACACGGATAAGAGAGGACTAAATCCCTGGATAACGACGTCAGCGCAAAAGCGGTATATCGATAATTCAACGACTTACTTTTTCAGAACAGATTGATAAAATAGATAAAAGCGCAATGTTTCATGGTGTTCTTTTATTATGATTGCCGATAAAAAAAAAAAAAAAAATTGCAGCCCGAGTGGCCTGTGTCACTTTTTTGTCATGAATTGTGTGAGAAATTTGCATAACTTCAGATACATCGAAAGATGGTGATGTCAACTCTGGGTAACAAAGTCAAGCATCAGATGGGTTGTTAACACATTTGGTACAGGGGAATTTAATGTACATGGAAGTCGAAGTAACATATAGTTGATAGTCATTTACAATAAAACACTACATGACAAATGGAATGACCCTAAGCGAAATGGATCACATTTTACCATTGTGACCTTAAAAGTGAGTCATGGTCATATTTCATAAAAAATTATATCCTTGTCAGGCAAACCAGAAGAATTGAATCTGCACCGCAAGTATCCTTAGACGGAATCTAACGAATATTTTAACGTTTGATATCTGTGACGTTGAACGCACGCCAAGGTCATCCGTTTAGACAAACTAGATAAATGCAAATACCGTCATTGTATGCTTCATGACATCTAGGAAAAGATATATAACGATATAAGGGTATTTACTTCATGAGATAAAGACAACTGAGTTCTGAACGTTTATATGAACACACTTGATCTTCCCAACAATGGGATGGCCTCGTCACGGCTCGGTACTGGGTTACGATATGTGAGTTAGCTACCTGCATCTCTGTGACACCCTGTGAGGTTGTGACTATATCGAGTTCATTCTGCTCCTTCCTTGGGACGACTAGGGCGGACTGGGGCTCCATATACATGTGTTCCTGGGCCCCAGTCTCGCATTCCCCATCTACAACAAAGTCCGCCTCCTTTTCTGCCTTTTCCAGGCTTCCACGCTCAACTGTGTACGGTTGCCCAGTGAAATTTCCCTTCTTGATTGCATCCTATTAAATCAAACGCATATGACACTAAACTAGGAAAATGTTAAAGCTTATTGGATTACTCTCGTCACCAATGTAATTTTCAAGCGGATAAGACTTGCCTATTAAACAACAGATATGTCAGTAAATCAGGGAAAATTCATAATCAACTTAAATCTGTATCTCAATAGTAATGTAACCATTGTTCAAAAGATTGTTTTCCACTTTAATACACAATGGTGCATTCTGCAATGTTCAATTTGTTTATTTATTTGAGGAAGCATTAATGTCTTCGTCTGTTTAATTTATTTACACGTGAGTTAACAATTAATGGGATGTGTACGTTGAACATTACCTCCAGCGATGCTATTGCCTCAAGGGGTTCGTATTCCACTTTGACGAGTTTGACCGCCTTGCTTGCAATCTCTCTGGACTCTGCTAGTATAGCACATATCACTTGTCCATGATGAAAAACCTAAATCAAAAGAAGGACGTATCAATACCATTACACATGAACCCTAGCTTTAATTAATGTTAAGGTTTCGTACTACCTTAATGTAACGTTCATTCCCGTTCCAAAGCCTACCAAATGCACGACTTTGTTAATTAAAAGACACTCGCAAATGAAGAATCGATAGCCATCAGTCATTTCTGATTAATCAAACGATAACAACTAAACAATATAAAGGAGATAACTTGGACACAAATAAAACAGAGAATAAAGATTAAAGCATGCAAAAAGCGTTGAGCGTACAACTTGTTTAGTATATGTCGCGCATATGTTTTGTATATACTTTGAGACAAAAATACCGGCTTTAATTTCATTTTGAAACGGAAAATTATATCACTAACGTTCGATAAGGTTCAAATATATACATTGTTTTATACTCATTCTGTTTGAGCAAATATTGGACCAGTCGCACTTTGGAAATAATATAGCGGTAATCCATAGTCTCCCACCGGTAATGATTTTTATGTATTTAACAAACAGTACAATTATGTCAGGAAGCATAGGTCAAAGTGTGGATATAGTGACCTACTTCTTGCACTCCGACATCCCAAGATGACCCTGTACACCAAATCCGGTTACTCCATGTGAAATAGTATAGAAGATATGACCAGAACAACCTTCTTGGACGGAAGGACGGAAGGAAGGACGGACGGAGTGCAAACCTATAGTCCCCCGGGAACCGTGTATGACTAAAATTACAGTAGTGACAGCATGCATTCTATTACCAAGTATGTATTAAGTGTATATGTTGAACAGCTAAATATATGCAAAGATTTAGGGGAGTCAGCGAAAGCAATCTCAGAAGAAAATACGTCTTCATTATATACTTTCCCGAAAAAGGTATTAATATCTGGGTACTACACTTGACGAACCTCATCTTCACAAAACAGCATGTGATCAGGAACTAATGGCCCGTATTTGTTGTGACAGGGTACATCTTTGTAGTCTACGACGTCAACAACTCCTTTCACTTCTAGTGCTGCCGACACATCCACCGACACAATCTTTGCATGGGCATGTGCACTGGTCACAAGTCCAGCAAACAGCTCGTCTGATAAAATGTTCAAAGAATATATTAGATGTTCACTCTGTTAACAACATTACAAGTAAAACTACTGTATAACAGGGAAATTTCACCCAGTCAGACTTCCTTCGCCGCTAAAATCCATATTCGCCCTGTGTCAATTTTGTCCTATTGATTATATGATCGCTGTAATGACAAATCCGCTCTTATGACAGAGGGCAAAAATGGCGAAAGTTAAATGCGACGAAAATTTCTAAGAATAAAGTAAAACGTATTATTGATGCTTTACCTTTGGAATACAGCCGAATTTAATTGTACGAAAACACATCATCTAGAAGTCTATAGAGTTAATTTGTATTCTAATATATTGAACCAATGTCAATGCAGCATACTCATTGCACTTGGGTTGTCGTCCACAAACTGTGCTTCGCCAGCAGTGATGTATTCTGAAGTCACGTTAGGGATAGGTTTCCACACGGCGTGGGCACCGCTATCGTCTGGAACATCGAACACTTGCACACTGGAAGCTGGCGTGTACGACAATCCTATTCTAAGCTTATCAGAATCCGTCTGAAATCAATCATTAATCAAATATATATACATATATTTTATCTTAGTTGAACCAATTCAATGCGAAACAAAATCTGAAGTAAAAACATGTAATGCTTATACATCATTGCAAGCTTTAACATTTTATATGTGACGCTAAGTGATCGGAACCATACCCACCTCTAGTGTCGCCTTTATTTTCATGAAGAACTTCAGGAAAAAGCTACATGCTAGTGTAATTCGGAAAGATGTGTTGTTATATGCTTCGCTTTGTAGTTCGGATGCCAGACCATTACTGACTTTCTCCAGCATGTCTTCGTTCCACATTCTCAAAAATAAACAAAGGTTTCAAGACATAAGGAGAACCGTATGGTAGTATTATACTTCATGTCAAATGGATACCTTTTGCACAAAAGCATTATCAATACAAAATACATCATATTTTCCTGGTATTTTGCATGCATAAGATGTGAGAGATGAATTATCATCGACATTTTGTATCTAAAAACATATAAGCCTATAAATTAACACCGGAATCATACACATCAGATATGACGGAAACATATTGTAACATGTATCATCGAGAATGTTGTTAATGGGGAAGATGGCCGTTTCAGCGCTCCGCTCACACCATAACCAACATATAAATAAATAAATAAATTATTAACTATAATGTAATTTTACAATATAAACATGTATTTACTAGATCACGTTTGTTTTGGCTACCTACTCTTTGATTGCCGCAGCCGCCGCCTTTGTCGCTAGTACCGGTTTATTATCCGTGCCGCCAAACGCCAGCCTCATGTTCTGGACCACTCTGGTCCCCTTTGTAAACTGTACGTACATCCCAGTGGTGACGATTCCGTAGTCATAACCACGACGATTCGGCTGTTTTACCCCGAAAATATGTTCGTCCTATAGAGAAGATATCTGTATATAACTTATTTTTATCCTATTATTTATAAAATCAGCTATTTACGTTGGAATAAATATATATATAAATAGATGACAATTGCGCGAGGACCATAAGTTGTCAACCAAATTAAATTGACAATATGTATACGTATGTATATCGGTCACCTTATAGATGAAATAACTATTTTTGAATTATATTTATAAAGTGTTTAGTAACAAAGTTTAAAGAGTAATAGAAACGAGAGGCAGGAATATGTACAACTTTTGACGTAAATGATGCAACACAAGTATATGTCCAATATATATGAGAATTGTCTGCAATAATTGGAGCACACTTGCAAAATCTGTTGAGTTCTATGATCCATCAAGTCATCACGATATGATAAAAAAAATGATATCGCTTATATAATTACCAGGGTCATTCTAATAAGAAAGTTAAGACCTTCCGTATAACAGATACATTATAATTAGAAAGTTAAGACCTTCCGTAAAACAGATACATTCTAATAAGAAAGTTGAGACCTTCCGTATAATAGATACATTATAATTCGTTTACTTATTTTGTTTTGTTTTTCTGTTATACGTACATCTGTCAAAAGAGGAACCGAAATAGAAGCTAACACTTGATCGTGATAAAGGCCATTCTTGACATCTTGTATGAAGTCATTGTCCATCAATACGTTCCGTACATCTGAAAGTGAATTATAATGTTTAAACACGTCCATACAAACATTAAAATAACAGCCATGATTGAATGCGATATATATCGTGCATTTTCGTGTTAAATATAGAAAAGTATGTATGTCATCAAAATCTTAACAGCGGAAAGTCTATTTATGGCACACACTGACATCTCGCTGGTAGTAATCATGTAATTTATCCCTTAATACTACAGATATAACTTTAAAACATTTACCTTTACCCTTCTTCATAAACTCGAGTGAAGCCCCGGCCGCCATGAAGAAAGTCTGCATGTCTAGGTTTGGTATCTGGCTCATCACGTGACCGCCAATTGTCTGGAAAATTACAACAAAACAAAATTGCTTCAAAAAAAAATGAACTGGGGAGGGGTATACATGATAGCAAATCATCAGTCTAGTATCACAATAAACGAACAGCATATTCTGAAAGCAGAACACATGCTTTGATCTGTTCAACTTACAGCAGTGTTTCGGATTTGATCCACACCAACCCATCGTAACACGTCTATCATTGCCGAAACGGTCTGATTTGCTGAAATAAATATTTTCACAGATTGCATTCAATACATATTTAAGAGGGGAATGCACAGCTGTTTTCGTCATTGTAATTGTGAGTTTTAAATGCCATTCTAATAAAACTACATGTATCAATTTACTGAGAATATATTACATGTGCTTACAGTTCATGTTGAAAAGTTGTGACTCAAGCTGTCCCATAGAGACGCCGGCACCAATCCTGATTCGCGAATCACTGAGCTGCACACCTTGGAGTTCCGTTACGTGGGTACAGCAAATGATGACGTTAGAAGTCAACTTCCCCTGTCGTAACAAGTATCCTGAGAGAAAAAAAATATAATATCTATTTTCAGTTTTTATTTCATATCTTAAAATAGCTGGTAACAACATTTTAGCGCGTAATTTTATGGACGAAAAGATCAGACATTTTTGTCTAGGTGCAATGTCATAACTTCTAAAATAGTGAACCTGAAGGTCAATCTTAGTTCGAAAAGTAATTCGCTTAGTAGTCATGTGTTGTATTGACTTTCATGGTCCTTAAACATAACTTAGATGACTCAAAGATTGAAATATATGTTTCACAGATAAACGTCGACAGAGTAACCACCTTTTAATATTGATACACCAGTATTTAAGTCCGAGTGGAAAGTGACAATTGAATGCAATGTGAAATTCGAAAGATTTGACAGGAAGACTGGCGTTGCAACACACGGTCAACTGTGGACACGTGATAAAGATATTCATATACTACTTACCAATAGTATTACAACCAAGGACAACTTGCGCATTGGGGAAGTTCTCCTGTAGGTTGAGAGCGTCCTTCATTGTGGTTGGGCGATACCAAGTGTAGTTTTCACTCTTAAACGTCAGTAACTTTGTATGGTAAGCCGCAGTTAACTAAAATCAGTTTAAAACATGACGTCATTATTAAGATCTGCGACATTGCAGAGTGTTTCATACGTATTTAAATGACCTTAGCTGTTAATAGGACGTTAAACAAAATTAAACCAAACCAAACAAACCACTGATATAATTTGTGAGATTAACTCATTTACCCATAAAGTCACATTTCAACCTTACCAATTCAAAAGACTGTGCATGTCTAGTTTAAATATGTAGAGTGAATGAGTTGTCCATCATCTATTACCATTGCCATGTACATGATGAACCGGACATATTCAGATGGACCGAAAGTTATCAGTTAGGAAGGGTATTATATTACTGTTAATTAAATAGTGTTCGAAATACATGTACTGTTAACGAATTATATAAGCTATGGGATTTTAAAGCATAACAATTTAAATGTGCATATATGATATAATTAAACAGTAAACATCCCCATTGTTAAACTATACTTGAATTAAGCAGCTGACTGCGGCGGGGTTGGTAGTAAACATTGTACTTGTATACTGTCGTGTTGAAATGTCATGTAAATAATGACCGATATACTACATTGTAGATAGTTGAATTAGTAAATACTGCATTTCTATATAGATGATAACTACAGCATGTTGTTGTGTAGTATAGATAGTGATGATATGCTGCGTAAGGTTAGTTACTGTTGGTAATGTTAGTTTGAACTTGAGTCAAGGCCACTATAGTCCGACTGAAATGATTTGTTAAGCAATTTCTCATCGCCATTACATTTTAACTGTCTGATGGCTGTCTTTGTTGATATTGATAGCGTTTCTGAATAATATCTTTTTCATTGATCATTAGATGTTGACAGTTTTTTTATGTACGATATACTTAATGGAAATATAAATTAACAAGAGGCCCATGGGCCTANCCCTGCAAAATTTCATTGAAATTGGTTCAGGGGTTTTGGAGAAGAAGTCGAAAATGTAAATTGTTTACGGACGCACGACGGACGACGGACGACGACGGACAAAAGGCGATCGCAATAGGTCACTTGAGACTTTGTCTCAGGTGACCTAAAAAGTCATTCAAACACGAGTGTAATTTTTAAACCAATAACACCGTTAAAATGACTATAAACATTAGATATGAAACTAACTCAAGTGTCAAGGTTACCTGTAATTCCGGTGGAAAGATGACGTCTTGTGTTGTGGCACTTTTTGGCTTCTCACTTGATTGTTCAGTCTCCTCTGTTGATACCGACTTGTCTGATTTCTCTAGACATAATCCCAAACCGCAAGGACAATTCTGTAGCATTAACAGAAATTGTGATCATGATAGTGATGTACCGATGTACATTAAAAACCTTTGAAGGGATTTGTTACTTAAAATATCACATCATATTTACTACTTTCAGTATATATTAAGTTACACAGTTCCCAATGCTGGCCGTTACTTAATAGCTGGAAATCATATTAGCACATTCTATATGAGATGCATCTAAATGGTGTAGTAAATTTACAAGGTGCTTCGTTACTTCGGATTTCTAGTTAATATTTAAATCAAACATAGATTTACGCAAAAAATGACGAATTTAGGTATCATTCATCCTAATCAAAACAGTGTCTGTTAACTCTGAAATATTACAGCCCTGTAATTTTCAATGCAAAATAATACGCCAATGCGTACTGGTATTTAGAACTAAATCACATTGATGATAAACGACAGATTTGTATGTGACTAACTTACCTCTTTAGCAGATCTAAATGCGTCGATAATAGGTCTGTACCCTGTACATCGACAAAGATTTCCTGTAGAATAGAATTTGTATTATTTCAAATACCATTTTAGATTTAAACACCACATATCGTCATTAAGAACAGAAAGTTTTAAAACAACAAAGGTTATATAAAGAGGTTGCCTGCAATTTAGGTCCAGTATAATGTCAATGAAAAATGACGTCATCATTAACAAACCTTCTAGGACTCTCTCCATCTGATCCTGGGTGGGTTCTGGGTTGTTCCTGAACAGTGTATACATCGTCATCACCATCCCAGGAGTACAGAACCCGCACTGGAGACCATGAGACTCCACAAGGCTTTTCTGCATATTTAAGAATAAACATCAGCACATGTTTGGCATTGATAAAAATCACTAGTTTGATGAACTTTTGTCAACTGGCACTGCTTACGTTATTAGATCGTAATTCCGATTCTCAAATATATTTCTATGATTTTGAAAAACGACGCTAATTGAAAGTGTGTATAAATATTGATTTTTTTTTTAATTATTCCATAGATCGGCAGTTCTTTGGTTGAAGTTTGACCTTTTGAAAATATCATTACCTTACTCACAAACAACAAGCTGTATTTTCCATAGCTGCGTAACATTAAGATTGACGAGATTTTGTCTTAGCAACTTAGGTACCAATGACTTACACGGATAAGATGTGTAACCATAGTTACACCTGACTCACCTAGGTGGGTCATGGTAAACACATATATAACTAACTGTGATGGATATGATGCAGCCATACTTATAATGGACTCACCTGAATGGGATGAAGTCCATTACGAGTACTTCCGACGCCTTCCACAGTGGTGACAGCCATCCCGTGTAGATAACATATCGGTACCAGACAGGCGTTTACGGAAATGTTTCTGTAGACGTCGAGTGGATATTATTATCAAAATTGTTCTAATTAACTAATATGTAACCTTACATTTAGTAGAAAAAAATATAAGTTAAAAAATTAAAAAAAGAACAATAAAGCTTACCTTATTGATTTTGTTGTAACGTCATAACAAGAAACCATGACAGTACACGCCCCACATGCCCCTTGTCCACATGCCAGCTTGGTGCCTGTCAGATATACTGGTTCGATCATGAAGGACTATCACAATGATCTAGAATTGCCACAAAAATCCACAGATAATTGTGTTATTTCTTGTTTTATCTATTTAAGAAAATGATATGTACGCAGACTGGTAAACTATAGCGTGCCAAACAATAAAACAATGACAGTTGGTTTAATTTCGAGTGTCGTTTGCTTAATTATTCTAAAGTGTTCATTTCTAAATAAACCCGTTTTCCGTTTATCGCAGCTTATAATAACAGCTTTGATTTTACAACCAAACGTTGAAAATGTCAGAAATGTCGTTAACGTAATCAAATAAAGTCAAGGTAATAAACACGAAAAACGTTATATTACACGATGCATAGTACGGAGTCTGAAATAAGGATACGGGACCTGCGCAGGTATTGCAAAAGTGTCGTTTCCGGATCCGGTTCCACAATTCGAACCTAAAAGGAAAGTATAACTGTAAATGTCATCTGTAATTATAAAAGCTTAATATAATGATTAATCATGTGTTCATGTCGTGAGATATTGGTTTCCGTATTTCACACTGTGATAATAAAAGCTGTTGCATTATGCCAGTAGGCAGTACCCCGTTCTGGATGGACCTCATTGATTGTTGTCCATTCAACAAATCAACGAATAGAAACGAGGATAAGTTTCGAGCATTTTACGTTACATATGTAGGACAACTTGACTTCCTTATCAGTGTTTGACGTCGTTTTGTCGCAATAATTGTTTGGTTCAAGTTTTCATGAAGCGATTTGAACAATAATACGGGGTGTTGTTGCGCAATGCTTTTCAGAAATAAAACGTGAATTTAAAGAACAATTGCATGTTAAGAGAGATGCTTGAAGGGTCTTTTATCGTCTTTGCTCATCAATTCCTTGCAGGTACTTTTTACCCAGACCCATGTAAATCCTAAACAGGAATCTTGTAAATTAACTTAAAACTCGTAATATCATGTGAGTTGCCACTAAGGCAAATGGTTCTGCATATACATTGCATAACTATATGCAATATGCTAAATAGAGAAAAAGAAATAACAAACCGTATCTATCAAAATCCAAGATGGCCGCATATCGGTATTTTGTTCATACACGAGAGACCATGCCTGCTATTGAGATGGTGGATGTAGCATGGAGGGTAGAATAACTCGCATGCTTTTTTGAGTATGCAAACGAATGACCGAGGTGTATGATCTATCCCGTAGCGTGTGTACAAATTCACAGTCCCCATCGTCACAGTTCATCCCTACTACAACAATGTTAGAGGTTTTACACGGCGAAAAACATTTGACAGGCGGCGCGTAACCTCTTACTGCCTATAGCTGATTTTCCCGATGCTGACGATCACATTTTCAAAGTTCGGATTAAGAAAGAGTATATCGTGTTTACATACATTTAAATGGCCAAAAGGGTCCAATAAATATTCCTTTCCATAAATCCATGATTATATGAGAAAACATTCGTGTTAAAGACATAAATAATGAGTTTTTCCTCATTCGAAGCGAAGCAGACAGCATTTGCCATGAATTTTCCGTTTAATAAAAAAATGGATTACATGTAATGTTTCACAAGCGGAATACAAACAAACTCCGTATCATTTCGTTTCGTTTGAAATCCCCCCTGCTATTTTGTATTAGTCCAGGAAGCCATGTTTTAAATGTAGGTCAGAGATGTGCTACAACGACATGGACATGTATTTTGAGTGTTCTATTCCGTAATATACTATATATTTGTGTCTGTGACATACATATGAGATCTATATTATATAAACCGTGAGTAGACATCGTTGTCATGAACTGTTAACCACTTAAGTGAGTTTTTCAAGCCGATTTTGTTCCGCCCGGATTTCGGGCGGAAACTGCATCAAAGAATTAGTGCTTCGGAAATGAGAGGTCGCAGTCGGCAAAATCATATCCGAT